GGAATTCCCTGGGAATCCCTTCCCAACATCCCACCTCTGGCACTGGGATCCATTCCCTGGCTCCCATCCCTTATCCCAACACCAGCTCCACGATCCTGATATGATCCAGGAGCTCTTCCAGGCCCGGGAATGTTTCCCAAACTGCTGACTCATTCCCTGGATCCCCCTTCTTCCAAACTCTGTCCCACAATCCGGGTTAAAAATTACATTCCCAGCAAACAGGGAAGGGAGCCAGGGCTGGAATTGTTCAGGTTCAGCTCCTGCTCCAAGGGCAAGGAAAATATTCCAGGTTTTTTCAAGGGAAAACCAACAATAACCATCCCTAAAATCCCAATTTAATTCTATTTTTATTCCCTGTTTTAAGTCAATTAAAACGCTGGGATACTCCCAGGAATCCCCTGCTCCTTAAATTCAATAAAACTGGGAAGAGCCCTCTGGAATTCCCTGCTGCAGCTCCCAGCTGGGTAATGTTTAGCCACCCTTGAATCCATGGAATTCCAAGTCCCTTCCCACACTCCGAGTCCTTTCCCATTCCTTTCCCCTCCTTGTGCTCCAGAGCTGCATTCCCCTCACTCCTGCTGGAATTTTATCCAGAGGCTTCCAAGATAAGGAAATACTTGGCACAAACATTCCCAGGAGCCCTGGCTGTTCCCACTCCTGACAACTCCTGCTTTTCCCAGGCGTTGGAATATTGGATATTCCATTCCTGCCATGAGCTTGCCCAAAATTCCCAATTCCGGCTTCTTTCCCGTTAAATTCAAGTGTTTTAAAGGCTTGGGGATATTCCTGGAAAATCAAGGCAAAAGATTTCCAGGGAAGCTGTGGGGGAAAAGGGAGGGAAGGAAAAAGGGCGAGAAAGGAAAAAAGAAGAGGGGAAAAAACAGAGGGGAACAAAAATGGCGGGGGAAAAAAATCATGAGGGAAAAAGGGCGGGAAGGAAAAGGGCGGGAAGGAAGCCGGCACAGCTCTGGATCCCCAGGAATGGCAGCAGGGACGGGCACTGCAAACACTGCTCAGCTCCACTGATCCTGATTTTATTCCTATGGAGCAGGGCACGGGTGGGAGGAAGGAGATTGTGGCACTCCTGAATTCCCAGAGCTGAATTCCCAACATTCCCTGAGCTCATGGGCACAAAAGGCTTGGATTGGAAGGGATCCTAAGGATGATCCCACTCCATGACAGGGAATTCCCACTGTCCCAGGGTGATCCAGCCCAGCCTTGGGCACTTCCAGGGATCCAGGGGCAGCCACAGCTGCTCTGGGAATTCCAGCCCAGCCAGGAATTCCCAATTCCCAATCTCCCAGCCATTCCCTGTGTCCTGTCCCTCCATGCCTTGTCCCCAGTCCCTCTCCAGCTCTCCTGGAGCCCCTCCAGGCCCTGGCTGGGCTCTGAACTCTCCCTGGAGCTGCCTCTTTTCCAGGCTGAACATTCCCAGTTTTCCCACAGCAGAGGGGCTCCAGCCCAGGAGCAGCTCCATGGGATCTTCTGGATTTGCTCCAGCAGCTCCGAGCCCTTCCTGCCCAAGGATCCCACCCCTGGATCTGTGCGATCCTACCGGAGCCATCCAACCCCCTCTTATCTCCAACATTCCCGAGCTGGAATCGTTGGGAAGAACCTCCAGGATGAAACATTTCCTGTGCTCCAGCCCTTTCCGACTTCCCTAAAAAAAGCCTGGACAGGAAGGGATCCTTCAGAGCCCTCCGGGTGTTTTATCCTGGCTGGAAAAACTTCCCCGGGCTCCGTTTCCACAGCAACACTTCTCCCAAGCCTTTGGCACTGGATCATGAGGAGCTTTGCTCCGGCAAAACAAATCCCAACGTGGAAAAAACGGGAAAAACAAGGAGAGAAGGAGCCAAAGTGTGGGATTGTCCGGGGCTTTGGGAAAGCAGGGAAAGGGCGGAAAGGCAGGAAAAGCCTGTGGAAAGGAGCAGTGCCGGCCCTTCCTCCCGCCGGGAAGGTGTGGAGGAGCAGGGATGTGGCTCTGGAGCAAATCCAGCCGGGAACAAAAGCTTGGGATGCAGCCAGAGGAATTCTTCCAGCTCGAGGAACAACACAGGGAATGATCCGGAGCAGGGATGAGGGAAGGAGCAATGGGAGACCTTTCCTTCCCACAAAAACGCGGCAAGGCTCCGGCTTTCAAAGGATTTGGGGATAAAGAAAGCAGGAGAAGGAGCTGTGGAGGTCTTGGATTAGGAATTTTGGGATGGGAGAGGGAATCTGAGGCTGGAATTCCCACAGCGATCCCACCTGGATTTTGCTGAGGGATCCTTTGGGAATATCAGCAGCATCCCCACAGATCTTCAAAGGAGAGGAAGTCCCAGGGAATTTTCCTGGGAATTCCCTCAGGATGGAACTTTGAGCCATCAAATCCCAGAATTTCACAGCAAGGGCAAAAGGAAAAGGGGAAAAGCCAGAAATCTGGGATGTGCCCAATGGGAAATGCCAAATATTGTCCCAGCAAGGAATTTTTTCCAAAAATGATGGGAAAAATCTCTCATTCCCCACTTTCCACGGGAAGAAGGGAAAAGTGGGAATCCCAAAGCAGGAATCCCTAGATTCCCAGATTTTCACTTAAATTCTCTGGACAATCCTGGAATATAATCCCACAAAAAGCTTTCCCACAGCTCAGCCTCCACAGGATTCCCTCAGGAATCCAAGCACTGCAGACAAAGGAGCAGCTTCCCATTTTTCTGTGGAATTTCCAAGCAGGAATCTCCTTATTCCATTGATTTATTCTCCTTTCCTCTCACTTTTTCCACCTAAATATTTTTGGAGAATTTTTCTTGAGGGAATCTGATCCGGAAACTGGAGGAGCAGACAGAAGAAATTCCCTTTTTCCCTGTTTTTGGTGCCTCCAACCCCAAGAGAATCCCAAAAAACCTGGATTTCTCCATAGGCAGGTCACAATCCAGGTTTCTCCATGAACATTCCCAATATTTTCAGTGGGAATAACCCAAAATTCCATCCACAAGACACCGAAGTGACAGGAAAATTCCAGGAAAAGCAGAATTCCTTAACACAAGAGATGCAAGAAACAGGGAAAATTGGGATATTTCCAAGATATTTTCCTTCTTTCAGCTTCTCCCTAATTTTTAGGAAGTCCTGGACTTCCAAGGATTTTTTTTTCCAGTGAAAATCCATTGACCTTGAAACATTTCCCAGAGATCTGAAGCTCGGGATCATTTGCACTCCCTGGATTTCTGGAATTAAGGCTGGAAAACAAAGGAATGAGCTGTCAAAGGGAATGGAACCAACTGGGAATAAAGGAAAGGGATAAAAGCCAGGAAAAGCCTTTCACAGCTCCCAAAAAAATCAGGAAAAGCTTCCCAAGGACCTTGAGCTGCTCCACAAAAACTGCTGGGATTTTCACCAGCTCGGGATCGTCCTGGGGTGGCTCCTCCTGGAATATCCAGCATTTATTCCCTTTAAAACCTGGAATTCCTGCTGGGATCACAGCCTCAGGTTTGCTTCCCTATGGATTTCAGGCCTGGAATGTTCCGGATTCCCCGTTTGTGGAACTGAGTGAGCTTTAAGGCCCCTTCCCAAAAGAAATCCAGGATTCTCCAAGGTTTAATAAAGCAGGAATTTCAACCCAAATCCTTTCCACATCACGACAGAATTCCCAAATTTCTCCCCAAGGGTTGGGAATGGCTGAGCTCTCCCAGAATCTTCCAGCAGAAGAAAGTTTCCCTCTACATCCCAGCTCTTTTCCAGGAACTTGGGGCCATCCTCCATCCCTCTGGAATGACACTGGACCCAACCAGTTGGAAAAATTTCTTTCCCACAGTTTTTCCTTTCCTGCTCTCAGCTTTCCATCCTTGGAAAGTCAGGAATTCTCCATTAAAAACCAAACAGCTCCACAGGAGCTGGTTGGAATTCCCAGCCCATGGAACTGGATGAGTTTAAGGCTCCTCCCCCAAAAGAAATCCGGGATTTCGGGATTCTCCAAGGTTTAATTGGAATTCCAACCCAAACCTTTCCCAAATTTATCCCCTCAGGGCTGGGAATGGCTGAGCTCTCCCAGAATCTTCCAAAGTTTCCCTCTGCATCCCAACTTTTTGATAGGAGCTTGGGGCTGTCCTCCATCCCTCTGGAATGACATTGGATCCTCCCAGCTGGAAAAATTTCTTTCCCACCAATTTTTCTTTCCCGACATCTTTTTTCCACTATTTTTCCTTTCCCACCCTTCTCTTCCCGCCTTCAGCTTTCCATCCTTGGAAAACCAGGAATTCTCCGTTAAAAACCAAAGAGCTGCTTGGAATTCCCTGCCCTGGAGGAACGGGATGACCTTGAAGGTCCTTCCCACCAAAGCATCCCATGAAAGAAGCGGGAGGAGCCGCAGAGAATTCCCAAGAGGAATTCCGGCAGAGCATCCCCAGCCCTGCCCCCACAGCTCATCCCAAAGTGTCACTCCTCATTTCCACGGATCCCATCCCAAATCTCCAGCAAAAAAGGGCAAATCCAGCTGGAATTGCGGGAGATGAAAGGAGCCCGGGATGGGCTTTGGGATCCCAAGGAGCCTTTAATCCTTTTTTAATGGAGAGGGATGAAAAGGGGGAATTAGGGAAATCTCCATGTGCATCGCCATGGAGATGGGAATGGCAGCGGGAAAATCCAATCCTGGCCATTTTCTGATGGGTTTTTTTAGGAATTAACCCTCCCTGGCTGGAAACAGGGAGATCCTGTTCAAGGAAAAGAAGGAAAATCATTGGAATGGGGGTTTTTTTCCAAGATTTTGTGTCCACTGGTGATGGGAAAAGAGTTCTGGAATCCTGGAATTCTCGAGGTTGGAGAATTCTCCATTAAATATCCGGAAACGCTTTAAAAAGGACATTAAAAGGGAAAACGAGGCGAAAGCGTCGAGTTCTGTTTGCTCAGGGCGTCTCCGATGGAGAGCGGGGCTCATCTGCGCTAATTAGCGTTAATGATTAGGGGCGGGGTGGGGCTGTGCCTTCCTCACGCCGCGGGGTGAGGAGGAGGAAGGAGAAGCGGGGGAGCGGCCGCGGGCAGGTGCGGGGCCGTCCCCGCCCCCCACACCTGGGGGAGGTACCGGGGGGGCTCGGGGGGGGCGGAGCCGCCGCCGCCGCTTCCCGGCCCCGGGAATGGCTTCTTCTTCCCGGGAGCGCCTCTGCGAGCTCTGGATGCTCTACTTCGCCAAGGTGAGCGTGTCCCCTCCATGGCAGTGTCACTCCATGGCAGTGTCACTGTCCCCTCAATGGCAGTGTCACTCGATAGCAATGTCACTCTGGCTGTGTCCCCTCCATGGCAGTGTCCCCTCCATGACAGTGTCACTCTGGCTGTGTCCCCTCCAGGGCCGTGTCCCCTCCATGGCAGTGTCCCTCTGGCCGTGTCCCTGTCGCCCCCCAGCCGCTGTCACCGGCCTGGCAGGGGACAGGGGACAGGGCTGTCCCCAGGGCTGGCCGTGCTGTCCCAGCCCCCGCGGGGTCACTCGGTGTCACCCGTGGCGCTCAGGGCAGGGGGTGACATCCCCGCGGCTTTGTCACTGTCACTTTTTCGGGAGCTCCCGGCGGAAGGGCGGCATTCCCGGCTGAGCATTCCCGGTTCGACATTCCGGGTCGGGCATTCCCGGTTCAGCATTCCCGGTTCAGCATTCCCGGTTCGACATTCCCGGTTCGGATTCCCTGTTCGGATTCCAGTCTGGCATTCCCGGCTGGGCATTCCCGGTTCGACATTCCGGGTCTGGCATTCCGGGCTGAGCATTCCCGGTTTGGGATTCCCGGTTCGACATTCCCGGCTGGGCATTCCTTGTTTGGATTCCGGTTCGACATTCCCGGTTCGGGCATTCCCGGTTCGGATTCCGGTCAGGCATTCCCGGTCTGACATTCCCAGTTCGGATTCCCGGTTAGACATTCTGGTCTGGCACTCCCGGTTGGGCATTCCCGGTTCGGATTCCCGGTTCGGATTCCCGGTTGGGCATTCCAGTTCTGGCATTCCCGGTTCGGATTCCCGGACTGGCATTCCCGGTTCGGATTCCCGGTTGGGATTCCGGGCGCTCCCAGGCGGCTCCGCGCCGGCCGAGCCCAGAAGCGGCCGAACCGGCTCTGCCGGCCGGGAACCGGCTGCGACAGCTCCGCGGGGTGGCACCGGCACCGCCACGGCCACCGGCACCGGGAGCGGCACCGGGAGCGGCACCGGCACCGGGAGCGCGGCCTCGGGGCCGCACACCGGGAACTCGGGCACCGCCGCTCCGGTGGGCGCAGCGGGAATTCCGGGAGCCCAGCCCCGGCTTCGGGATGCAGCTCCGCGTGGGAGCCCCGGGAATTTTGGAACAGCAGCTCCAGGTGGGCGCACCGGGAATTCCGGGGCAGCGGCTGCGGGAGGTCCCACCGGCAATTCCGAGCTGCAGCTCCCGGTGGGTGCCCCGGGAATTTCGAGGCAAACTCAACAGCCGGGCGGGATTTGGGGTTGGATTTGGGAATCCCGGGATAAACCAACGCAGCTCCTCGTGCTGCCACCTCCGCGGGCTCGGGGACATCCCGGGGGCGCCGGGTGGGCGCAGGGATGGGGGCGCCGGGGCCACCGCGGTGTCCCCGGGCGGGTTCGGTGTCCCCGAGTGGGGCCGGTGTCGCCAAGCGGGTTCGGTGTCCCCGGGCGGGTTCGGTGTCCCCGGGCGGGTTCGGTGTCCCCGGGCGGGTTCGGTGTCCCCGAGCGGAGCCCGCAGCAGGGCAGGAAGCGCCGTTGGGGCCGCGGGTGACATGGCATTTCCTGAGCTCTGGGGCTTTTTTGGTGGCTTTGCACAAGCGGCAGCGGTGACAAAAAGGGGGGGCCCCCCTAAGCACCCCCTCCCCGCACCCCACACCCCGTTCCGGCCGCGCTGCGCCGGCGCCGCTGCCACGGCTGCGGGGCCATGGATGGCCACGGCCACCCCCGGCGACAGGTACCGCATTTGGGGACCTGGGGACACCCGAGGGGCGCTCGGCGTGGAGCGGGAAGTGCGGGGGAAGCGGATTTTGGGGTCCCCCCCCGTTGTGGGGGAGCCGTCAGAGCGGCGGTGTCCCGGAAAAGGGGGGACGGTCTCCGTAGGAAGGGGGGACAGCCCGGGGTGCTCGGGGGTTGGGGTGACCCCCAACCCCCGAGCTGCATCGGGGTGTGGCGGTCCCCAAGGTGCCACAGTGGGGTGCTCGGGGGTGGGGGTGACCCCAAATTGAGGCATTGGAGCGCCCAGGGCTGTGAGTGACCCCAAAAGGCAGCACTGGGTGCTCAGGGACATGGGGTGACCCTAAAGGTGTCACACTGGGGTGCTCAGGGCTCTCTGTGACCCCAAGGTGTCACACTGGGGTGCTGAGGGACATGGGGAGCCCCAAAGGTGCCCTGTTGGGGTGCTCAGGGACATGGGGTGACCCTAAAGGTGTCACACTGGGGTGCTCAGGGACATGGGGAGCCCCAAAGGTGCCCTGTTGGGGTGCTCAGGGACATGGGGTGACCCCAGGGTGCCACACGTGGTGCTCAGGGACATGGGGTGACCCTAAAGGTGTCACACTGGGGTGCTTAGGGACATGGGGTGACCCCAAGGTGTCACACTGGGGTGCTCAGGGACATGGGGTGACCCTAAAGGTGTCACACTGGGGTGCTCAGGGCTCTCTGTGACCCCAAGGTGTCACACTGGGGTGCTGAGGGACATGGGGAGCCCCAAAGGTGCCCTGTTGGGGTGCTCAGGGACATGGGGTGACCCCAGGGTGCCACACGTGGTGCTCAGGGACGTGGGACACCTGGAGGTGCCACCTCGGGGTGCCCAGGGCTGGGGGTGACCCCGGGGTGCTGGGTGGGGGTGCCCGGCCTGGGTGAGTTCCCCCTCTGTCCCCCGCTGTCCCCACTGTCCCCCCCATCCCCGCTGTCCCCATTGCACAACCACAGCTGGGCCGGGCAGGGCCCGCTGTGCCCTGATTGGCTGCAGGGACAGGTGCTCTGCGAGCTGATTGGCCGGTGAGTTCCACAGGTTGCGCTGTGCTGGGCTCTGATTGGCTCAGCGCCTCCGCAGGTTTTGCGGCTCTGGCTGCTGATTGGTCAGCGAGTGTACAGGTGATGCTGTGCTGGGCTCTGATTGGTCAGAGGTGTTACAGGTTGTGTGATTCTAGGTTCTGATTGGTCAGAAGCGTCACAGGTTGTGCGGTTCTGCTCTGTGATTGGTCAGTGGCTCCCAGGGGTGTGTCACACACCTGAGTGGGCGGGGCTGGTTTCTCTGGCTGTGATTGGCCAGTCCCTGTGGGCGGGGGCCATGGAGGGCCGTGATTGGCTGCCGGCCCCAGCCCCGCCCTCCCTTGCAGAAGGACCTGTCCTACCTGCAGCAGTGGCTGGAGGCCTTCGTCACCAGCTTCGAGAGGGTCATCGCCCTGCCCTCGCTGGAGCCCCGCAGGTGGGACCCCAAAACCCTGCAGTGACCCCCTGAGTGACCCAAACAGCCCTGAGTGACCCAAACACCTCTGAGTGACCCCAAACATCCCTGAGTGACCCCAGACACCTCTGAGTGACCCCAAACACCCCTGAGTGACCCCAAACATCCCTGAGTGACCCCAAACATCCCTGAGTGACCCCAAACAACCCTGAGTGACCCCAGACACCTCTGAGTGACCCAAACACCTCTGAGTGACCCCAAACACCTCTGAGTGACCCCGCCCAGGATGACCCCAGCGCCCATGAATGACCCCTCTGAGTGACCCCCAGCATTCCTGGGTGGCCTCCAACATCCCTGGGTGACCCCAGCACCCCTAAATGTCCTGTCCAAGTGATTCCCAGCACCCCTGGCTGACCCCAACACCCCTGAATGGCCCCTGTAGGTGACTCCAGCACCCCTGAGTGACCCCAACATCCCTGAGGGACCCCTGTGGGTGACCCCAATACCACCGAGTGACCCTGAGTGACCCCCCAAGCCCCCGGGTGTCCCCTGGGGCCCCGGAGCCCTGGCGGGGTTGCGGTGCCTCATCCGCCCGCCGCGGTCGGAGCCATCCGGTGCCGCTGCTGAGGAGGGGTTCCGGGGGGCCCCGGGGGCGGCGGGGTCACATCCTGCACCCCGATCCCGCCCAGGCCCGAGGAGCCGGGCTCCGAGATCCCGGCGCTGCCGCGGGAGGTGCTGCAGGTGCTGAGCCAGAGGCTGGGACACAGCGTGGCCCTGGGGACGCGCGACGGGGACAGGGGGACGGGGCTGGGCCAGGCCCTGCTGCTCCTCAAGTTCTTCATCATCATCTGCAGGTGGGTGACCCCAAATCCCTCCGTGCCCCTCGCCCACCCGCTCCTGCTGCCCAGCACGGAGCAGCCCCAGGGATGGGGGTCCTGTGTCCCCTCCCAGGTCCTGCTTTGTCCCAAAGCGTCGGGTGGCTTTGGGGGTGTGCGGTCCCCATCCCAAAAAAAACCCCACAGAATTCCTCCCTGAGGGGAATCACCCCCCGGGAAATCTGGGATCCCCCCCAGATCACAGCGTCCCCTCTAAAGTGCATTAAAAGTTGTATAAAATTTTTAAAAATAATTAATTTTACAAAAATAATTAATAATAATAATAGTAGTAATAATGGTAATAGTCATAAGAATAATACTAGCAGTCATAATTTTACCAAAATAATTATTAATAATAATAGTAGTAGTAACAATAGTAGTAGTAATAATTAATAATAATAGTAGTAATAATTAATAATAATAATAGTAGTAATAATAATAATAGTAATTTTAAAATAATTAATTTTACAAAAATAATTAATATTAATAATAGTAGTAATAATAATAGTCATAATAATAATACTAGCAGTAATTACAATCCTGTAATTATATTATATTGTATTTATATTGTATTTATATTGTATTTATATTGTATTCTATTGTATTTATATTGTAATTATATTAAGTAATTTTAATAATGCAAAATAACAAAATATTTTTAAAATATATTAATTTTTAAATAACGTCCTTGCCCCCCAAAATTGTCATCCCCCCAATGTAGTGTCCCTCCAAAGGTGCATCGTGTCTGAAAATAATAATTAGAAAACCATGATTGTCATTCATGTAGTGTGATAAAAATGTAATAATCAAAAAACACTATTTCGCCCCAAAATTCCATCATTCCCCCCAGTGGAGTATCCTCCCCAAAATGCATTATATCTCTAAAAAAAGTTTTTGAAAATAATTAATATTATTAATCATTAGTATCTTTAACATTCATAGTGAATGTAGTAATAAATAAAATATTTTCATATAATAAAAATATAAAAATAGGAAACTATTCTTCCCCCCAAAATTCCATCATTCCCCCCAAATTCCATCACATCTCTAAAAATATTAATAAATGTTACTTTTATTATTCATAACAATAATTAATAATACAACATAATATAATAAAAAAGGTGTAAAAAATGAGAATTTTTTGTGGCATTTTCCCTGCCCCAAGCAGGGAAATTATTCCCCTTCCCAAATTTCCCCCTTCCCCTTCCCAAATTTCCCCCCCGCCCGTGCAGGATGAATTCCCGATGTTTTCCGTTCCAGGAACCTGGAGAACATCCAGCCCGACAGGAGCCCCGGCTGCCTCCCGCACGTGCTGCGGCTGCTGCGGCTCTGCGGGAGCCAGGTGGGAGCGGGAGCGGGAACGGGAGAATGGGAATGGGAGTGGGAGCAGGAGCGTGAATGGGAGAGGGAGCAGGAATGGGAATGGGAGAGGGAGCGGGAATGGGAACAGGAGCAGGAATGGGAATGGAAAAGGGAACAGGAGCAGGAATGGGAACAGGAGCAGGAGTGGGAATGGGAACAGGAACGGGAGTAGGAAGGGGATGAGAAGGGGAATGGGAGTGGGAACGGTCACAGGAATGGGAGTGGTCATGGGAAGGACAACAGGAATGGGAATGGGAACAGTCATGGTAACGGGGGTGGGAATGGGAAATGGGCACAGGAACGGGAATGGGGAGTGGGAAGAGGAACGGGAATGGGAAGGGTTATGGGAATCGGACTAGGGACAGGAATGGGAACAACCATGGGAGTGGGAACAGGAATGGGAATGAGAATGGGAAAGGGCAGGGTCTGATTGGCTGGGGAGGGGCTCAGCACTGATTGGTCACTGAGTCCATATGTTATGTGAGTCTGGGCTCTGATTGGTCAGGAGCTCTACAGGTTGGGCTGTGCTGCAATTTGATTGGTCAGTGAGTCCACAGGTTGTGTAACTGAGTTGTGATTGGCCAGTGTCTCTGTAGGTTGTGTGATTCTGGATGCTGATTGGTCAGTGCATCCCAGCTTGTGCTGCTCTGGGCTCTGATTGGTAGATTGATTGATTGATTGATTGATGATCCCATTCTCCCCACAAAGAGGAGTTTCCCCCAAAAAAAACACATCCCATTTTTTGGAGCGTGTCAGGGATTAAAGCTTGGCTTTCCCGGCAGCTGCGGAGCATCCCGGGGGACGAGCGGAGCCAGGCACAGCTGGAAAATGGGGCACAGCTGGAAAAGGGGACACGGCTGGAAAATGGGACACAGCTGGAGAGCCGGGAGAACGGGGCACAGCTGGAAAATGGGGCACAGCTGGAAAAGGGGACACGGCTGGAAAATGGGACACAGCTGGAGAGCCGGGCACAGCTGGAAAACCGGACCCAGCTGGAAAACGGGATGCTCCACGCCCTGCACCTCTGCGAGTGCTTCCTCGACCCCTACCAGACCTGGCGGCGGCAGCTGAGCGGGTGAGGGACGCGCCCCGCATCCCAAAATCCCTCCCCCGTCCTGGATCCCCCCCCTCACCCCTCTCTTTCCAGGGAATCCATCAGCGCCAAGGAGAAGAGCAAATACAAGTTCGCCCCCGCCCCGCTGCCCCCCGAGTTCGGTGCCTTTTTCCAAGGTAAAAGTGGGATTTGGGAAAGGGGAGGGTCGGTGTGGGATCCCGAAGTGGGGACAGTGTCCAGGGATTGGGGGGTGCTGGGGCAGGGGTGGGATCAGGGAATATTTATAGGATCCGTGGAGGGATGATGTATTCAGAGGGAGGTATTGATCCAAGGACTGAAAAGGATCCCACACCTGCTCCAGGTTATCTTGTACTTATCCCACATCTGCTCCAGGTTATCCTGTGTTATCCCACAGATATGGGATCCCACACCTGCTCCAGGTTATCCTGTGCTTATCCCACAGATATGGGATCCCACACCTGCTCCAGGTTATCCTGTACTTATCCCATATCTTCTCCAGATTATCCTGTGTTATCCCACAAATATGGGATCCCACACCTGCTCCAGGTTATCCTGTGTTATCCCACAGATATGGGATCCCACACCTGCTCCAGGTTATCCTGTACTTATCCCATATCTGCTCCAGGTTATGCTGTTATCCCACAAATATGGGATCCCACACCTGCTCCGGGTTATCCTATACTTATCTCATATCTGCTCCAGGTTATCCTGTTATCCCACAAATATGTGATCCCACACCTGCCCCAGGTTATCCTATACCTGTCTCAGGATTATTATAGGGTTCCAAGGCAAATACAGGATGCTGTTCCAGGTTATCCTACGCCTGCCCCAGAAATTTCCCTGCTCCCGTGTCCTGGGAAGAGGAACAGGATCCCAAAGCAGGAATTAAGCCCAGCACCACCTGCAGAACCCACAAAAATCAACACAAAGGGGGATTTTTATCAGGGAAGCCCCAAAAATCCCCTTTTAGCGGCAGCGCCGTTGCCAAAATTCCCTGGAGCTCCGCCCCATAAACCCCCAGCTGAGCCCGAGTTTGGCACAAATCCCCTTTTCTGGGGCCAAAACCCCGTTCCTGGCACAACCAGAGCTGGAAAACCTGGAGCATCCTCATCCTCTCCATCACCAGCAGGGTCCAGCACCCCCTTGGGTTGGATTTGGGTAGGAAAGGGATTTTTTCCCTATTTTTTTGGGTGAAAAAAGGATTTCCCCCTCTATTTTTAACTAGAAAAGGGGCGTTTTCTGTTTGGTTTTGGTTTGGTTTTTTGGGGTTTTTTTTTGCTGTTTGCTCCTCTGATGAAATCTTTCCCTCCTCATCCTCACAGAGAGTTTCCAAGGCGGGAGGCAGCTCCCAGAAATGATCCAGCTCCGGATTATCCATCTTTTCGGAGCCATCCTCTCCGGATCCAAGGTACCCTTGGGAGATCCTCATTCCAGGGATAAACCCCAAAGTTTTGTTCATTCCAAGGCAGAATTAAAACACTGAATTTTCCAAAGCTTTTAAAAATCCTGTTTAACATTCCAGCCTTAAATTCGGTGGGATCAGCTCAGAAATGTTAAATTAAGTACTTAAATTGAAGAATTAAAGTATTAAAATAAATAAGAAAATAAAACAAAATAATAAAACTAGACAAAACAATCAAAAATTAAATAAAATTATTAAAAATACTCACTAAATTAGGAATTAAAGAATGAAGTAGAACAAATAAAATAATCAAACTAAATAAGTAAATAAAATAATTAAATTAGGTAGTAAAATTAATGATATAAATAAAATTAAGTATGTAAGTAATTAAGCTAAATAATTACATTATTGAATGAAGTTATTTTATAAATTATTAAATAGTTCAACATAATAATGAAATTACTGAATTAAATTATTTTCTCAGACTATTACATTAAATTATTACAATTAATTAAATAATTAAGTTATGAGAAGCTTTTAAGCTGAAGCTGCTGCTTCACCTCCAGTTCACCTCTGGGCTGGAAGCTGGAAAATCCTTGGATTAATAATTTGGACCCAAAATCCGTTTTCATTTCCGCAGCAATCAAAAATCAATTCAATCAATAACTCCAAAATCGGCTTTAAAACAATTCACAGCCCCAGGGTAAAATCTGCAGCTGCGGGAGGTCCCGGGGGTCAATAAATAACGGGATCAGGGAGGGCTCGTATCCCCGTGGGCGACAGAATTCCCACCCGTTGCCAATCCCGCAGCCCAATGCGCTGCAGGCCATCACCCCCGCGGCGCTGGAGGTGCTCCTGGGGGTTCTGCGGCGGGCTGGCAGCGGGGTGTCCCCGTCCCCCGCGCTGCTGGAGGTGACGCTGCGCTCCGTGGTGGCCGCGGTGCACGTCCTGCACGGCTCCAGCCCCGGCGCCGGCCCCGTGTCCCTGCGGAGCCTCCTGGATGGATTCTTCAGGGTGCTCAACTCCGACCTGCCCGCGGCCTCCCTGGCGCCCGAGGCGGCCGGCGGCCTCATCGCCCTGCGGGTGCTCATGTTGGGTAGGTTGGGAACAGCGCGGGGTTTGGGAAGGTGGGGTGGGATGGGGTTGAGCCAGGCTGGCTGTCTGTCTGTCTGTAGATGCCATCCCGGCCATGCTGAGCTGCCAGGACCGGCCGGTGCTCCAGGCCGTGTTCCTCAGCAACAACTGCTTCGAGCACATCATCCGCCTGCTCCAGAACAGCAAGGTATGGGGTGGCACCTCAGAGTCCTCATCCCCATCCCCTGTCCTCGTCCTCAGCCCCGTCCTCATTTCCATCCTTCAATCCTCCATCCTCATATCCATCCTCCATCCTCATTCCCGTCCTCATTTCCATCCTCGTCACCTTCCTGTTTTCCTCCCTTCCTCCCTTCCTCCCTTCCCTTCCCTTCCCCATTTCCTCTTTAAATGACCCTGGGACATTTGGTGACACCACGGTTGGGCACCTTCATCTCCATCCTCACCCTTCCCAGTTCTGAATGATCATAGGACAGGGTGGTGTATCCCTTTTGGGCACCTTCAGCTCCATCTCCATCCTCACCATTCCTGGCTCTGAACGATCCTGGGACACATCCCTGGGGTGGGGACCCTCCAGAACCCCTTCCCAGTGTCCCACGCCCACCCCGTGTCCCACAGCTCTACCTCGGCAGCTCGCGGGAGGCGGGTGAAGCTCGGGACGAGGTTCCCACGCGGAACGGGGATGGACTCCAGCAGGTACCCCGTAACCCAACCACCACCCGTGGTGGGCTGTGTCCCCTCATTCCCATGTCCCAGCAGCTCCCCCATTCCCGTGTCCCCTCAGGACAGTGCCAGCAGCTCCGACGCCATCGCCGTCCACGCCCTCGGGGTGCTCACGGCCATCATGAGCAACTCACCCTCAGCCAAGGTGGGCAGGGGACCTCCCCTGAGGAGGACACCCCAAAATCTGAGGGGTTGGGGTATTTGAGGTGGCTCAGCCCGAGGTGGGGCTCAGGTGGATTGTACTGTCCCTGTGCTTCCAGGAGGTGTTCAAGGAGCGCATCGGCTACGCCCACCTCTACGAGGTGCTGAGGAGCCAGGGCCAGCCCACCCAGCGTCTGCTCCAGGAGCTCCTCAACATGGTGAGCATTCCCGCTTTTCCTGACTCTGGGCAAAGCTCTCAGCACTGGGGCTTCCTGTGGATCTCAGCCCCCATTCTGAGCCCCCCCATCCTCTCCACTCTGCTGGTTTCTCAGCAGTTTGCTCCCAACGGGTCCTGGGTCCATCTTTCACCCGGAGTTGGGTTTGGGAGTTTTGAGCCTTTTTGGGTGTGGAACTGCTCACTCTGGTACTGCTGGACGCAGGAGGGTCTCCAAGGTGTTTCATGCATGAGGGTCTCTGAGATCCTTGATTCGTGGAGGCCTCCAAGACACTTCATGCACAGAGATTCTTAAGGCTCCAAGATTCTGGATGCACAAGAATCTTCAGAATGCTTGGTGCATGAGGGCCTCCAAGATACATGGAGGTCTCCGAGATTCTTGATGGTTGGGGTCCCCAAAATATTGGATGTGCAGTATTTCCAAAACTATTTATGCATGGGAGTCTCCAAGACCCTTCATCCATGAGGATCTCCAAGATCCTTGATGCATGGAGGTACCTGAGATTCTTGATGCATGGAGTCTCCAGAATTCTTCATGCACAGGATCTCCAAAAGGATTGATGCATAAAGGTCTCTGACATACTTGATACACAAGGGTCTCCAAGATCTTTAATCCATGAGATCCCTTGGTGTCTGGGGTCTCCAAATTCTGGATGCATGGGAGTCTCCAAGATTCTGGATGCACAGGGGTCTAGACGAGGTCTCTGCTGCCGGCCCAGGGTGGCTGGGATGGATCCATCCCTCTCCAAGCACTGGAGCTGCACCAACCCCTTCTTGTGTCCCTGCAGGCGGTGGAGGGTGACCACAGCTCCTTCCCAGTGCGTCCCATCCGCAACGAGCAGCCCCTGCTCATCCTGCTGGCCTGGCTGCCGGCGCTGGAATGCCGGGATCTCCAGGTGTTCCTGTCAGCGTGGCTGCGGCGGCTCTGCGAGGCCTCCCTGCCCAGCCGCCTCACCTGCGTCAAGGCGGGCATGGTGGGCTCCCTGCTGGGCGCCCTGGCCACCGAGCCAGCCCTTCCCAGCATCTGCTCCCAAAACCTGCTGGAGCTGCTGCGCTCCTTGGGCAGCCTGTCCATCCGGCCCGGGGAGCTGCGGCAGCTCCTGCGGCTGCTGCGGCGCGAGCGGGGCCGGGGGCCGCATCCCTACGTGGCTCCGGTCATCCGGGCGCTGTCGGGCATGGCCAGGGGCGAGGGGCCTCCCCGGGCACTGCAGAGCTTCGACCTGAGCCCCGGCATGGCCGGGATCATGGTGCCCACCATCCAGAAGTGGCCCGGCGGTGCCTTCGCCTTCCACGCCTGGCTGTGCCTGAGCGAGGAGGAGCCGGAGCCGCCGGCGAGGCCGAAGAGGAGGCAGCTCTACAGGTGATGCTCACTGGAGGGGGTGAGGTGAGGGTGGGGAGGGGGCAGCAGCACCATCCCCACCATGGTTTTCTCCATGGTTTTCTCCACCAGCTTCTTCACGGCGGGCGGGACGGGCTTTGAGGCGTTCTTCACCGCGGGCGGCGTGCTGGTGGTGGCCGTGTGCACCAAGAAGGACTACATGACAGTGGCACTGCCCGAGTTTGCCTTCAACGACTCTGCTTGGGTGAGGATCATCCCCATCCCCGTCCCTGTCCCCGTCAGGGACACCACAGCGCCCTGATGTCCCTCTCTGTCCTCCCAGCACTGCGTTGACGTCGTCCACGTTGCCGGCCGCCGGCCCTTCGGCCAGAACATCGTCAGCATCTACGCCGACGGACACCTGCGGAAAACGGCGCAGCTCCGCTTCCCCTCCCTCCACGAGGTGGGGGATCCTCCCAGCACCCACCCAGACCCTTCTGCATGGCCTCACTGGGGGCTGAGTGGGATCCCTTCTCCCTCCCAGTCCTTCACCTCCTGCTGCATCGGCTCTGCGGGCCACCGGACCACCACGACGGCCGCCACCACTGCCAGCCACCCGCCGGCACCCCATGGTCCGGAGCTGGTCTTCACCTCACACCCTGTACTGGGACGCTCCCAGTCTGTCCCTGCCACCCTTGGTCCCCACTCTTGGACCCCCACCCAGCTGCCCACGGAAGGGGTGGTGGCCACCACGGCAGCCGGCAGCCAGGACACGGAGTGGGGCAGCCCCACCTCGCTGGAGGGTCACCTGGGCTCCGTGGCCATCTTCTGCGAGGCTCTGCAGCAAGCCCAGGTCAAGGCTCTCTTCTGTGCAGGTACGTCAGGGTGGGACATGGAGGATGTCCCCAGGGTGCTGGTGGTGACCGGGGTCTCCTCCACCATGTGCCAGCTCACCCCAGCCCTCTCCCCCAGGACCAAATGTCACATCCCCGTTCACACTGGAAGGGGACTTGGTGGAGCTCGGCAGTAAACTCTTGCTGTACTACACCCCCCAGGTGAGGAGAGCCACCTCCCTGGGGACAGGGACAGTGCTGGGGCCCTGTGCCACCAGGGACATGTCCAGGAGCATGAGGATGCTCCCACGGTGTTTTTTTCCAGGCCTGCAGGAATAACATCTGCTTGGACCTCTCCCCCAGCCACAGCTTGGATGGGAGGCTGACAGGACACAAGGTGGTCAACTGGGACATCAAGGTAGGCTGGGCACATGGTGACCTGTCCACCCCATGGCCTGGGGGCAGGGGGGTCCCTCCTGGGGCACAGTCCCAGGGCGGGACCCCCAGAGGTCCCCTGGACCCTGCAGGGACTCTCCCTGTGGTAATGTGCCCACCATGACCCGTCTGTCCTGTGGGTCCTCATCATCCAGGGTGGTGCAGGGGAGCAGGTGACTTTTGGGGACCCCAGGTGCCATGGACCTCCCCTCCATGCTGCTGTCATCACCCAGCAAAGCCTCTCCCTCCCTCCCTCCCCCAGGACGTGGTCAACTGCGTGGGTGGGATGGGGGTGCTCCTGCCCCTGCTCGAGCAAGTGGTGTCCAAGACGGAGGAGCCCGAGGATGAGCAGGAGACCAACGACCTGGTGGGGCCAGAGCTGACGTCCTCCAGGAACGCCCAGGGCATGCTCATCCCACTGGGAAAGTCCTCAGGTGAGGAGTTCAGGGGATGTGAAGCAGGAGCTGTCCTGCTCGGATGGCTGGAGGTGACCACGAGGGGTTCCTGGACCTGGCAGGTGTCCTCCACGGGCAGGAGAGGTCTTCCCTCAGGCTCCAGGAGTTACAGGGTAATGGAGGAACCACTTGGGATGTTATGAATGACCCAGTTAGTCACAAACAAACGGTTCTGGGAAGGTGAGGGTGGCTCCAGGGACCTTTGGCATGAGTGGAATGTGCTTTCTCCCAATATCCAGCTGCTCATTCCCAAGCTGAAAGCAGCAGAGGCTTAAATCTGGAGAAAACAGGAGAACAGGGTGAAAAGTTTGGAGAGACAGCTGCGTGGGATCTCCGGGCGGGGGTTTGGGTGGGCCCAGGGCTCACAGGTCCCGGTGCCCTGCAGAGAGCAGGCTGGAGAGGAACAGCGTGGCCGCCTTCCTGCTGCTGGTGAAGAACTTCCTGCGGAACCACGCCGTGAACCAGGAGAGCCTGGTGCAGTGCCACGGGCCGGCCATCATCGGAGCACTGCTGCACAAGGTGTGCGAGGCTCCCAAAACCCCATCCCGCGGTCCTTGCCGTTCCCAAGGGGCTGGAAGTGTCCCCTGTCACCCGTGACAGGTCCCCGGCACACTACTGGACATGAGCACCTTGGTGGCCTCGCAGATCCTCATGGAGCAGGTGGCTTCCGAGGGCAGCGGGCTCCTGCTGCACCTCCTCTACCAGCACCTCCTCTTCGACTTCCGCATCTGGAGCAACAGCGACTTCGCCGTGCGCTTAGGTGGGAGCAGGGATTGCCTGGGAATGTCCATCCCGCCCGGCCCCCGTGGGATCCTGACGCCTTCTCCCTGCAGGTCACATCCAGTACCTGGCCAGCGTGGTCAAGGACCACAAGCAGCGCATCCGCAAGAAGTACGGGGTGCAGTTCATCCTGGACTCCATCCGGACCTACTACGGGTCAGCTGCCACGCGGGGCTGGAATCCTGGGATGCTGACGGGGTGGGATTGGGGGTGGGCTTCACCCCTGGGAGCTGTGATTTGGCTAAACACCATTTTTGTGGGGTAATATCTCTCCTACCAGAGTGGGAGCGTTGTGGTGGGTGCAGGACCTTCCATGTCCTATCCCTGAGCCTGTGCCCAGCTCCAAAATCCACCCCCAGCAGCCACCAAGAGTGTGGTGGGTTCTGCAACAAGCAGACCCAAATGTGTGGGGTGGACATGTCCCAGGGGTAGAAGATCCCTGGAGCTCCTCGGGCTTTGTGTTGGGATTTGGGATGATGCTGGCAGTGGGTGTGGGTGACAAGGGACACATCCCCACGCGTGTCTGTTGATCAACACCTCCAGGGAGAAGACCGCGGCCACCGACGACATCAGGACGGTGCAGACGTCCCTTTTCAGCCTGGTGAAGGATTTCTTCTGCAGGAGCTTCTCCGGGGAGGAGATGCAGAGCTTGCTGAACTACCTGGCAGGGGCACAGGACGAGCAGCAGGTGTGTCACCAGCCACACTGTGTGGAGACACTGTGGTCCCCAACCCCTCAGCAAATCATGGGCTGGGGAGAAGCCACTGGGATCCCAGTGGGACACTGGGCGGGCAGTGGACAACCATCCCGGTGTCCTGCAGGTCTGTGGGGCGCTGGAGGTGATCCACAGCCTGCTGAAGGGCCCCCCAGCCCAGGAGCAGCTCTTCGCCTTCCTCTTCGAGCCGGGCCATGTAGAGCTGCTCTTCTCCCTGCTGGTGCAGAAGAGGTTCTCGGATGAAGTGAGGGAAAGGGTCTTCAAGGTAGGGCAGATCCCCAATGCCCACCTCCTGCTGCCTCCAGCAGGGATGTCACAGCCAGGTGGCCTCCTCTCGCTGTCCCACCAGGTCCTCTACAAGATGCTGAAGTACGAGAAGGTCCCCGAGCGCAGCAAGAGCCGCCTGAAGCTGAAGGACATCGGGTACCACGGGCTCATCTCCTACCTCAGCGACATTCCCGGCTCCATGCTGCTCTTCCGCTGCCTCTCGGAGCAGGTCCTGGGGGCAGGTACCGTGTGCCAAAGAAGCCAGGCCACCATCCCAGCCATGTGCCACGGGATCACCACTGGTGGCTTCCCACGAGGCTCAGCTGGGCTGGGTCTTTGGTGGCTTTTGGGGACAGCAGGAAGTGTCCCACCACTGTGCTGACTCTCTTTGTCCACAGACCCTCCCAACTACAAGGACCTGGTGGCCGTGGTGTACCTGTCCCACCGGGCTGAGCTGAGCATCCGACTCGACATCTGCCGCAAGGTGAGCGGGGCCAGGACACAGCAGGAGGTGACAGACGTGTCACCCCAGGGCTGAGCTCCTTGGACACCCAGCTGTGCCCAAAAGTGGTGGCCGTGGGGATGGTGGTGACACGGATCTGCCAGCGTGGAAATGGTGCAGCTCCAGCACCCCATGATGGTTTTGGAGGATCTGGGGTGCTCCTGTTCCTGGGAGAGGAAGAGCTGGGGCAGCAGCATCCAGCGTCCTTCATTTTCCATCTCCTTTTCCTTCTCCTGCAGCTCTTCCACCTGATCTATGCACAGCAGGACCTGGTGAAGCAGCTGGCCAGGTTGGCCGGCTGGCAGGACACGCTCACCAAGCTCTACGTGAAGGAGTCCTACGAGTGCCGCCAGCACAGCCTGAGCACCGCGGGCTGCCCGGAGCTGCCGCGCCTCTCCGAGCCCTGCGGCAAGGACAGGATGAGCCCGCCGCCCGCCGAGCTCCAGGAGCTCGATGTCTTCCTCCCGCTGGGATACGAGGCCTCGGACCAGGAGCTCTCCGAGGGCTTCTCCGACCACTCCATCTCCCCGAGCGGCTGCACCAAGTCCTTCCACTCCTACAACTTCAAGTCCTTCGACTCCTCGGACCGGGCCAGCCGCTCATCCTCCAACCCCGGGGACGGTCCCCCCTTCGACGGCGTCTACCACCCGCTGTCCCCCTTCTCCACCTCGCCCTTCGACCTGGGGCTGGACCTGGCCAGCACCAGCTCCATGGCCACGGCCGAGAGCGGCACCCAGACCCCGGCCAGCGGCCCCGGCACCCCCTCGCCCCTGGAGAGCTTCAAGCCCTTCCCGGGAATGCGAGCGCGCAAGAGCTCCAGCCTGTCCAACGTCCTGGATGAGAGCAGCTACCAGGACGTGCTGCCCAGCGACAACGTCTCCAACACCAGCAACCCCCAGGTGAGCCCCAAACCCTCACCCCCACCGTCCTGGGGAATTCCGGCCACCCCTCACCTTCCTCTCCACTGGCAGCAAACCCCCGAGGAGGAGCTGTGCAACCTGCTGACCAACATCATCTTCTCGGTGACGTGGCGCGGGGTGGAGGGCTGCGACGACGCGGCCTGGAGGGAGCGCGGCCAGGTCTTCTCCGTGCTCACCAAGCTGGGCACGGCCTGCGAGCTGGTGCGGCCCCCGGACGAGATCAAGCGCAGGTGAGGCCCGCCCGCGTCCCGGGGTGGATCCCGAGGGAAGGGCACCCTCTGGAGCTGCTGCTGTCCCACAGCCTGCTGGAGATGATGCTGGAGTCGGCGCTGACCGACCTGAAGGAGTCGGGCCCGGCCGCGCTGCCCGGGCTCACCCACAACGCCCTGAAGCTGCTGCGGCTGCTCCAGGATTTCCTCTTCTCCGAGGGACACAACAACCAGGCCCTGTGGAGCGAGAAGGTGGATGGGAGTGAGCAGGGATTCCTGATCCCAAACCACAGCTCTGCTAATCCCTAATGTCAAGCCTGGCACTAAAACCAGCCCCACCTGCAGAACTTGAACATAACCTCAGACTTATTCCTAATTAAAATCAAAGCCTAATCTTAACCTTGGGAAATAACCTCAGCCCCAATCCTAGATTTAAATCAAAGCCTCATCCTAATTCTAGGAAATTACCTTTGCTTTATTTGTAATCTTAAATCAAATCCCCAATCCTAATCCTTAAACCTTAATCCTAACCCCTAATTCAAAATTTAACTGTTCCTCCTAAATCGTGATGCTAAACTTAACTCCACATCTTTGTCATAAAGCCCAGCCCTTAATCCTATTCTTAACCCTAACTCTTTCTGTAAACCTAAACCCTGACCTTAACTCACAGCCTGTAATCTCACTGTACTTCCCACATCCTAATCCTAAATCTTACTGCTATACCTTTGTCCTAAAGCTGAATGCTAACTCCAATCCTCTCCCCCTGCCCTAATCCTGACCCCTGACCATAAATCCTGAGCCTCAACCTCATGCCGAACCCAGACTAGTTTGTCACGAGTTGGGTTCTACCCTAATCCTAAACCCAAACCCCAATCCGAGGAGGGCTGGGTGATGGGGCCGCTGGCCTGGCAGGGGTGGGGATCCTGCCCGGCCGGGGGCTCACGGTGTCCCCCCAGATCTACGAGGGGGTCAGCAGCCTGCTGGACAAGCTGGGCGTGTGGCACCACCTGGCCAACGGCGCCTCCGACCTCAAGGAGATGGCGCAGACGGGGCTGCGGCTGCTCGTGGGGTACATCCTGCTGCAGGACCCCCAGGTGGGTCACCCCGCCCTGGGCACCGCGGTGGCATCGTGGTGGCCCCGCCTGACGTCCCCTGTCCCCCCCAGCTGCACTCGCTGGCCTACGTGAAGCTGCACAGCCTCCTGCAGACCACGTCGGCCCCGCGGAGGGACGAGGCCTGTTACCTGCTGGGGAAGCTGGAGACGCCCCTGCGGCGCTCCCTGGATTCCCGGTCGGAGACCTTCTCCTGGCTGGTGCCCATCATCCGCACGCTGATGGATCAGTGCTACGAGACCCTGCAGCTGCAGCAGTTCCTGCCCTCGCTGCCCCCCACCAATGGCAGCCCCACCTTCTACGAGGATTTCCAGCTCTTCTGCACCACCCCAGAGTGGAGGGGCTTCATCGAGAAGCACGTGGGTGCCGTGGGGTGGGATGGTTGTTGTGGGATTATCTGGATGAGGGGTGGTGGGTGCCGAGCCCTAGGAATGCATCTCTGCTCGTCCAGGTGCAGCCCACCATGGCCCAGTTTGAGATGGACACGTTTGCCAGGAGCCACGACCTGATGTCCAATTTCTGGAATGCCTGCTACGATGCCATGATGAGCAGCTCCCAGCGCAGGGAGCAGGAGAAGGCGGCCAGCCGCAAGTTGTTCCAGGTACTGCCTGCTCCTTTTCCCTGGGATGTCACCCTGGGGCGTGCTCTTTATTCTGGGGACACTCTCCTCACCCCTGGGGTGTCACTCTGGGTGCTCCTCATCCTGGTGATATGTTCCTCATCCCCAGGCAGTCATCCAGGGATGTGCTCCTCACTCTGGAGACATGCTCTTCACCCCTAGGATGTCATCCAGGGATGTGCTCCTTATCCTGGGGACAGGCTCCTCACCCCTAAGATGTCACTCTGGGTTCTCCTCAGCCTGGGGACATGCTCCTCACCCCAAGGATATAATCCAGGGCATAAGTTCCTCACCCCCAGGATGTCATGCAGGGAATGTGCTCCTCACTCTGGGGATGTGATCCTAGGAATGTGCTCCTCTCCCTGGGGTATTAATCCTGGGGTTGTGCTCTTCACCCCAGGGATGCCATCCTGGGGACATTGCCTTCAGGAAGTGCTCTTCCTCGTGGGGACATTGTCCTGGGGATGTGCTCCTCATTCCAGGCACATTTTCCCTGGGACATGCTCCTCATCCTGGGGATATCATCCCAGGGATGCACTCCTCATCCCAACCACATCATCCTGGCGATGTTCTCCTTACCCTGAGGACGTCACCCTATGGATGTCCCCAAGCCCCAGCCCTGTTGTCACCTCACTGTGGTGCCCCCTCGGCAGGAGCTGGTGCTGGAGCCGGCGGCGAAGCGCTGCAAGGCGGAGAACGCCCGGCACGCCAACGTCCTCAAGCAGATCAACAACCACCACAGCACCGTGCTCAAGCAGTGGCGGTCCCTGTGCCGCCTGCTCACCTCGCCCCGCTCCGCCTGGGCCGACCGGTGAGTCCCCACCTCGTCCCCAGGGAGAGGTGGCACAGCCAGGGGTCCCCAGGGTGCCTCACCCCCAGCTGTCCCCCAGGAACCCACCGGAGGTTCGCTGGAAGCTGTCAAGTGCCGAGACCTACTCCCGGATGAGGCTGAAGCTGGTGCCCAACCTCAATTTCGACCAACACTTGGAGGCCAGCGCCCTACGGGACAACCTGGGTGAGGTGGTGGCACTGGGGCACCCGTGGGTCCTCCCGTGCCACGGGCAAGGGATGTCACCAGTGGGGTTGGGCTGGGAGATGGCATGGACAGCGCTGAATTTGGGAGCTCTTCACAGGAGTTGCTCCCAGCCCAGGGGGGTGGTCCTGCTGACCCCCTCCTCGTTTCAGGAGCTGACCACCTCCAGAACCCCGCCGAGTCCCTCCCGCTCGCCATGGCCAAGGAGGCCAAGGTGAGCGAGCTGGAGGATGACCAGCTGGCCGAGGAGGACCTCCCTGTCCTGGACAACCAGTGAGTGACCCCACCCTGCCGCAGCGCGGACTGACCTGGGCTGGGGGTGTCACCAGACTGTCCTCACCCCGCTGTGCCACGCAGGGCTGAGCCCAAGGAGCAGAACCAGCGGGAGAAGCTGGTGGTGTCGGAGGACTGCGAGCTCATCACGACGGTGGCCGTGGTCCCCGGGCGCCTGGAGGTGACAACCCAGCACGTTTATTTCTACGACGGCAGCAGCGAGAAGGAGGAGACGGAGGGAGGTAACGGTGGGCTCCTTGAGGGGTGTGAGGAACCCCCACCCAGCCCCATCCCTGCCTCGGGAATGGCGGGATGGTGACACCTGGGGGGGCTCTACGTGCCCCCACCCTCGGCAGGGATCGGCTACGACTTCAAGCGCCCCTTGTCCCACCTGCGCGAGGTTCACCTGCGCCGCTACAACCTGCGCCGCTCCGCCCTCGAGCTCTTCTTCATCGACCAGGCCAACTACTTCCTCAACTTCAGAAAGAAGGTGGGGACCCTCTCATCCCCTCCCAGGGCCACGGCTCTGCCCGAGCTCCAACAGCTCCACGTCCTGCTGTCCCCTCCAGGTGAGGAACAAGGTGTATTCCTGCATCCTTGGCCTGCGGCCCCCCAACCAGACCTACTTCGGCAGCCGGTCCCCCCAGGAGCTGCTGAAAGCCTCGGGGCTCACACAGGTACCGGCCCCACCCAGCCCATTCCATGTGTCCCCTTCCCAGATGGAACAGGGAGGGTGACAGCGTGGGATGCCCATGGGACCAGGGGTGGACATGGACATGGAAATGGGATCAGGGATGGCTGTGGATCTGGGAGTGGCCATGGGACCAGGGATGGCCATGAGCATGGACTTGGACAGAGGATGAAGGATGGCTGTTAGGAGTGGTCATGGGACCTGGGAAGGCAATGGGATGAGGACAATCATGGGACAAAGGACAACCGTGGGACATGGGATGGTCTGAGAGCAGGGATGGCCATGGAACAGGGGGTGGCTATGGGATGGAGGTGACCATTGGACTAGAGGTGACTGTAAAACCAGGGATGGCTGTGGGGTGGGCATGGCCACAGTTCTGGGGACAACTGCGGAGCCAGTGATGGCTGTAAGACTGGGGACAACTTTGGAACCAGGGATGGCCAAGGGACGGGCACTGCCATGTGGTGGGGGGTGTCTGCCCTGTCTCCTCTCCCCCCAAGCCCATCTCCTCCCTCTCCCTTCTCTCCAGAAATGGGTCCTGCGGGAGATCTCCAACTTCGAGTACCTCATGCAGCTGAACACCATCGCGGGGCGCACCTACAACGACCTGTCCCAGTACCCCGTGGTGAGCCCCTGTGTCCCCCGCTGTCCCCACACTGACCCAGTGGCCCCCAACCTCACCCACCTCCCACCCCCACCCAGTTCCCCTGGATCCTGCGGGATTACGTCTCGGAGACCCTGGACCTCACCAACCCGGCCGTGTTCCGGGACCTGTCCAAGCCCATCGGGGTGGCCAACGAGCGGCACGCCCGCGACGTCAAGGAGAAGTGAGTACCCCACAAACCACGGGCAGGGGATGCAGGGAGCACCTGGCTGGCTCCTGGTGGACCCCATCCCACCTGGCCTGCAGGTACGAGAGCTTCGAGGACCCCACGGGCACGGTGGACAAGTTCCACTACGGCACTCACTACTCCAACGCCGCCGGCGTCATGCACTACCTGATCCGCACCGAGCCCTTCACCACCCTGCACATCCAGCTGCAAAGCGGCAGGTGGGAACCCGGCAGGTTGACCCTGCACAGGGGACATTGTGGGGACAACCAGGCTCCAGCCAGGTGTCCTGTGCCTCCAGGTTTGACTGCTCGGACCGGCAGTTCCACTCGGTGCCGGCGGCATGGCAAGCCCGCATGGAGAACCCGGTGGATGTCAAGGAGCTCATCCCGGAGTTCTTCTACTTCCCGGAGTTCCTGGAGAACCAGAATGGTAAGGGACGTCATTGTCACCACTGCGGGAGCACAGCAGGGTCTGTGTCCCTCATTGTCCTCGTCCTGCCTGCAGGCTTTGACCTGGGCTGCCTCCAGCTCTCCAATGAGAAGGTGGGGGACGTGGTGCTGCCGCGGTGGGCACGGTCTCGCGAGGACTTCATCCAGCAGCACCGCAAAGCTCTGGTGAGATGGGAGCTCCTTCAGCCCTGGGGGCATTCCGGGGCCGTTCCCACCCCACCCTGACACCCATCCTTGGACAGGAGTCGGAATATGTCTCCGCCCACCTCCACGAGTGGATCGACCTCATTTTTGGGTACAAGCAGCGCGGCCCGGCCGCCGTGGAGGCCCTCAACGTCTTCTACTACTGCACCTACGAGGGTGAGCTGTGGGGCAGAGGGAGGGGGACACCTGCCAGGGGTGTGTCCCCCTGTGACCGTGACCGTCCCCACCCGCAGGGGCCGTGGACCTGGACGCCATCACCGACGAGACGCAGCGCAAGGCCCTGGAGGGCATCATCAGCAACTTCGGGCAGACGCCCTGCCAGCTGCTCAAGGTAGCTCAGACCCCCACCCCCCCAAAACCAGCCCCTTTTTGGGGGGTCCCCCCACTTCTGACGGGTGCCCTGCGCCCCCAGGAGCCGCACCCCGCCCGGCTGTCGGCAGAGAGCGCCGCCCGCAGACTGGCCACCCTCGACACCCGCTCCCCCAACGTCTTCGAGAACCTGGGCCAGCTCAAGTCCTTCTTCGTGGAGGTGAGGACACCCCCGGGGGTCCCTGGGCAGCACTGGGAGGGGTGGGGTGGCCAGGAAGGTGCCCAGCAGCTGCTGTGTCCCCACAGGGCATCAGCGATGGGGTGGCCCTGGTGCAGGCCGTGGTCCCCAAGAACCAGGCGCATTCCTTCATCACTCAGGGATCCCCCGACATCCTGGTGAGTGTGGGGAAACTGAGGCACGGGGACGTTTTGCTGGTCCAGGACCAAACCAGGGAGGATCCCAGCAGTGAGAGTGGTGTCACCTCCTCTCCCCCTCTGCCCAGGTCACCGTGAGTGCCAACGGCTTGCTGGGGACCCATAACTGGCTGCCCTACGACAAGAACATCTCCAACTACTTCAGCTTCACCAAAGACCCCACTGTCACCAACGCCAAGTGAGTCACTGGGGCACAGGGTCCCCAGGGATGGTCCCTGGAGGTGCCACCAATCCACCACCACCATCCCACATCCTCCTGACAGGACCCAGCGCTTCCTGCAGGGCCCCTTTGCCCCCGGGGCCGACCTGAGCTCCCGCACGCTGGCCGTGTCCCCCGACGGCAAGCTGCTCTTCAGCGGGGGACACTGGGACAACAGCCTCCGTGTCACCTCGCTGGCCAAAGGCAAGGTCGTGGGACACATCACCCGGCACATAGGTACGTCCTTGTCCCATGGTGGTGATGATGGTGATGATCTGATGATGCCCTGATGGGGTTGTAGGGCCGTGGCGGGAGGCAGGTGACACCATGAGGGGCATCTCCCAGTGTCTCCATCTCCTGGGGATGGTCCAGGTTCCAACCTCAGAGCTGGAGTGGGGTGAGGAGCAGCAGCATCCACACCCCAAAATTCATCTTAGAATGGGATTGGCAGCAATTCTACATCCACTAACACATCGTGGTGCCATCCCATGGAGTCAGGGGGCCAAGCGTGGTGGGAGGGCTCCGACACCTCATGGTGTCCCTCTGGCTGTCACAGATGTTGTCACCTGCCTGTCACTTGACCTGTGTGGCATCTACCTCATTTCTGGCTCACGGGATACCACCTGCATGGTGTGGCAGGTCCTACAGCAGGTAAGGGCTCGAGGAGTGGGAGGAGCACGTGATGGGCACTGCCAGCAGGTCACTGATGTCCCCGTGTCCCCACCACCAGGGTGGCTTTTCCAGCGGCTTGGCTCCCAAACCCGTGCAGGTGCTGTACGGCCATGACGCCGAGGTGACGTGTGTGGCCATCAGCACCGAGCTGGACATGGCCGTGTCCGGCTCCAAGGTGAGCTGGTGGGGCCGTGGGGTGGGCGTGGGATGGGCAGTGCCACCACCACCATCACCCTGTGTCCCCTTCCTCCCCCAGGACGGCACCATCATCACCCACACCGTGCGCCGGGGGCTCTTCATCCGCTCCCTGCGGCCGCCCGGCGAGAGCTGTCCCCCCGCCGTGCTGTCCCACCTGGCCGTGGGGCACGAGGGGCAGGTGGTGGCCCAAACCGCCGTGGGACAGCCCTCCTGCTCCAAGGTACGTCCAGGTGTCCCCGTGGTCCCCTCCTGGCCACCAGCACCGCCACCATGCTCCCCCCATGCTCCTTGCAGGAGAGGTTCGCGCTGCACCTGTACTCGGTGAACGGGAAGCTCCTGTCCTCCGTCCCGCTGGACCGGGAGGTGACAGCCATGTGCCTGACCGACGACTTCGTGGTGCTGGGGACCTCGGAGTGTGGGCTGGAGATCCGTGAGCTCCAGAGGTGAGGGATGGCTGTGACCTGGCCTGTCCCCAACACGCCCTCAGGGTGTCCCACGCCGTGGTGTCCCATGCCATGGTGTCCCTGCCATGGTGTCCCACGCCGTGGTGTCCCATGCCGTGGCTCGTGTCCCACGCCATGGCTCGTGTCCCCAGCCTCAGGGCGGCCGTGCCCCCCGTGCCCATGCGGGTGCCCGTGCACAGCGTGTCTGTCACCAAGGAGAAGAGCCACATCCTGGTGGGGCTGGAGGATGGAAAACTCATCGTGGTGGGTGCCGGGCAGCCCACGGAGGTGAGCGGGACCACCAGCCAGGGCAGGGTGGGATGGGGACGTGGCTCGGTGTCCCCTGGGTGTTCCCAGGGTGGGGACATCGGTGTGTCCTCTCCAGAGCTGAGGGGAACCAGGGTGGGGTGGGGAAGGGGATGTGGGATAAGGATGGGGATGGAGGTGGGAGGGAGATGGGGATGGGGATGGAGAAGAGGATAAGGGTCTGGAAGGAGATGGTGATAGTGAAGGGGATGAAGATGGGATTGGATAAAGGGTTTTGGGAAGGGATGGAGAAGAGGATGAGGATCTGAAAGAGGATAGGGGTGGAAAAAAGGATAAGGATCTGGAAGGAGAAGAGGATGGAAATGGGGAAGGAGAAGAGGATGGGATGGAGAAGCAGATGAGTATCTGGGCAGGAATGAGGAGGAAGAATGGGATGAGAAACTGAGAGGAGATTGGGGTGGAGAAGGGGATGAGGACCTTGGGATGTGATGGGGATGATGAGGATGGGGATGGAGAAGGGGATGAGGACCTTGGGATGTGATGGGGATGATGAGGATGGGGATGGAGAAGGGGATGAGGACCTTGGGATGGGATGGGATAGGATGGGATGGGATGAGGAAGGGGATGAGGACCTTGGAATGGAATGGGGATGAAGAGGATGAGGATGGGGATGAAGAAGGGGATGAGGACCTTGGGAGGATGGGGATGTGGGAGGGATGGATAAAGGATTTGGGCACAGGAAAGGCGCTCACCCCCGTCCCCAGGTGCGGCCGGGCCAGTTCCACCGGCGGCTGTGGCGTTCCACGCGGCGCATCTCCCAGGTGTCGGCCGGAGAGACGGAATACAACCCCTCCGAGGGCAGGGCCTAGGCTGGCACCCACCACCACCCACCCAGCCCCGGGGGCCCCGTGCCCCCCACACGGACTGGGGACCCCCGGGCGCCGAGGGGGGCCTGGAGAGCCCCGCCCCGCCCGACATCCGTGGCCTTATCCAGCCCCGCTGGGGTGTCCAGCCCCCTGTACTCGGTGAACGGGAAGCTCCTGTCCTCCGTCCCGCTGGACCGGGAGGTGACAGCCATGTGCCTGACCGAGGACTTCGTGGTGCTGGGGACCTCGGAGTGTGGGCTGGAGATCCGTGAGCTCCAGAGGTGAGGGATGGCTGTGCCCTGGCCTGTCCCCAACATGCCATGGTGTCCCATGCCATGGTGTCCCTGCCATGGTGTCCCACGCCGTGGTGTCCCATGCCGTGGCTCGTGTCCCACGCCATGGCTCGTGTCCCCAGCCTCAGGGCGGCCGTGCCCCCCGTGCCCATGCGGGTGCCCGTGCACAGCGTGTCTGTCACCAAGGAGAAGAGCCACATCCTGGTGGGGCTGGAGGATGGAAAACTCATCGTGGTGGGTGCCGGGCAGCCCACGGAGGTGAGCAGGACCCCCAGCCAGGGCAGGGTGGGATGGGGACGTGGCTCGGTGTCCCCTGGGTGTTCCCAGGGTGGGGACATCGGTGTGTCCTCTCCAGAGCTGAGGGGAACCAGGGTGGGGTGGGGAAGGGGATGTGGGATAAGGATGGGGATGGAGGTGGGAGGGAGATGGGGATGGGGATGGAGAAGAGGATGAGGGTCTGGAAGGAGATGGTGATAGTGAAGGGGATGAAGATGGGATTGGATAAAGGGTTTTGGGAAGGGATGGAGAAGAGGATGAGGATCTGAAAGAGGATAGGGGTGGAAAAAAGGATAAGGATCTGGAAGGAGAAGAGGATGGAAATGGGGAAGGAGAAGAGGATGGGATGGAGAAGCAGATGAGTATCTGGGCAGGAATGAGGAGGAAGAATGGGATGAGAAACTGAGAGGAGATTGGGGTGGAGAAGGGGATGAGGACCTTGGGATGTGATGGGGATGATGAGGATGGGGATGGAGAAGGGGATGAGGACCTTGGGATGGGATGGGATAGGATGGGATGGGATGAGGAAGGGGATGAGGACCTTGGAATGGAATGGGGATGAAGAGGGTGAGGATGGGGATGGAGAAGGGGATGAGGACCTTGGGATGGGGATGGGGATAAAGAGGATGAGGATGGGGATGAGGAAGATGGGGTGGGATGGGATGGGATGGGATGGAGAAGGGGGGATGAGGACCTTGGAATGGAATGGGGATGAAGAGGATGAGGATGGGGATGAAGAAGGGGATGAGGACCTTGGGAGGATGGGGATGTGGGAGGGATGGATAAAGGATTTGGGCACAGGAAAGGCGCTCACCCCCGTCCCCAGGTGCGGCCGGGCCAGTTCCACCGGCGGCTGTGGCGTTCCACGCGGCGCATCTCCCAGGTGTCGGCCGGAGAGACGGAATACAACCCCTCCGAGGGCAGGGCCTAGGCTGGCACCCACCACCACCCACCCAGCCCCGGGGGCCCCGTGCCCCCCACACGGACTGGGGACCCCCGGGCGCCGAGGGGGGCCTGGAGAGCCCCGCCCCGCCCGACATCCGTGGCCTTATCCAGCCCCGCTGGGGTGTCCAGCCCCCCCTGGATTTTCGGGAGATGCCTCACAGCGGGATGGGGGACAGGAGGAGGTGGGGACCCCTCGCTGGGAAAGGGGGTGGCACAGCCCCCCCGCCGTGCCCGCTGGCCAGGAGCCGGCAGCGTGTGGGTGTCCCCCCCCTTATTTTTTATTTCTATCCATTTTTAGAGCTTTTACAGAAAAAGGATTGTTAATAATAATTAATAATAATAATATATCTGTGGGAAATCAAGGTGTGAGGCCCGTGGTTGCACCAAGATGGGGACACATGCCCTCCTCTGTGTGTCCCCAGTGTCCCCCAACTCTGGTTTCCTGCATGGGGGGGGGGCCCAGCCCAGGCTGTGCCAGGCTGGGGGACATGGGGACACTCGTGTCACCAGTGGGGCAGGACTCAGCAGCTCTGTGCCCACGTGTTATGGGCAGGGGGGCACACACACATGTCAAGAGAGTGGGGGGTCTCAGCAACCCTAGAGTCCCATGTCACAACTCTGGGGGGGGTCTCAGCTGCTCTGTAGCTTGGTGTGACAAGTGAGGGGGTCTCAGCTACTGTGAACCTCCATGTCAGGGTCTGGAAGGAGATGGTGATAGTGAAGGGGATGAAGATGGGATTGGATAAAGGGTTTTGGGAAGGGATGGAGAAGAGGATGAGGATCTGAAAGAGGATAGGGGTGGAAAAAAGGATAAGGATCTGGAAGGAGAAGAGGATGGAAATGGGGAAGGAGAAGAGGATGGGATGGAGAAGCAGATGAGTATCTGGGCAGGAATGAGGAGGAAGAATGGGATGAGAAACTGAGAGGAGATTGGGGTGGAGAAGGGGATGAGGACCTTGGGATGTGATGGGGATGATGAGGATGGGGATGGAGAAGGGGATGAGGACCTTGGGATGGGATGGGATAGGATGGGATGGGATGAGGAAGGGGATGAGGACCTTGGAATGGAATGGGGATGAAGAGGGTGAGGATGGGGATGGAGAAGGGGATGAGGACCTTGGGATGGGGATGGGGATAAAGAGGATGAGGATGGGGATGAGGAAGATGGGGTGGGATGGGATGGGATGGGATGGAGAAGGGGGGATGAGGACCTTGGAATGGAATGGGGATGAAGAGGATGAGGATGGGGATGAAGAAGGGGATGAGGACCTTGGGAGGATGGGGATGTGGGAGGGATGGATAAAGGATTTGGGCACAGGAAAGGCGCTCACCCCCGTCCCCAGGTGCGGCCGGGCCAGTTCCACCGGCGGCTGTGGCGTTCCACGCGGCGCATCTCCCAGGTGTCGGCCGGAGAGACGGAATACAACCCCTCCGAGGGCAGGGCCTAGGCTGGCACCCACCACCACCCACCCAGCCCCGGGGGCCCCGTGCCCCCCACACGGACTGGGGACCCCCGGGCGCCGAGGGGGGCCTGGAGAGCCCCGCCCCGCCCGACATCCGTGGCCTTATCCAGCCCCGCTGGGGTGTCCAGCCCCCCCTGGATTTTCGGGAGATGCCTCACAGCGGGATGGGGGACAGGAGGAGGTGGGGACCCCTCGCTGGGAAAGGGGGTGGCACAGCCCCCCCGCCGTGCCCGCTGGCCAGGAGCCGGCAGCGTGTGGGTGTCCCCCCCCTTATTTTTTATTTCTATCCATTTTTAGAGCTTTTACAGAAAAAGGATTGTTAATAATAATTAATAATAATAATATATCTGTGGGAAATCAAGGTGTGAGGCCCGTGGTTGCACCAAGATGGGGACACATGCCCTCCTCTGTGTGTCCCCAGTGTCCCCCAACTCTGGTTTCCTGCATGGGGGGGGGCCCAGCCCAGGCTGTGCCAGGCTGGGGGACATGGGGACACTCGTGTCACCAGTGGGGCAGGACTCAGCAGCTCTGTGCCCACATGTTATGGGCAGGGGGGCACACACATGTCACGAGTGTGGGGGTCTCAGCAACCCTAGACTCCCATGTCACAACTCTCGGGGGGGTTTCAGCTGCTCTGTAGCTTGGTGTGACAAGTGAGGGGGTCTCAGCTACTGTGAACCTCCATGTCAGGAGTTGGGATGGGTCTCAGCAGCTCTGTGCCCACCTGGCACAATTTTAGGGGGTCTCAGCAGCTCTGTACCCACCTGCTGCAATTTTAGGGGGTCTCAGCAGCTCTGTGCCCACCTGGCACAATTTTAGGGGGTCTCAGCAGCTCTGTACCCACCTGCTGCAATTTTAGGGGGTCTCAGCAGCTCTGTGCCCACCTGCCACAATTTTAGGGGGTCTCAGCAGCTCTACACACACGTGTGACAAGTTTGGGGATCTCAGTGCCTGGACAGACACCTGCCATGAGTGTGGGGGTCCTCAGCAGCAGCTGTACATAAGTGTGACAAGTTGGGGCGGGGTCTCAGCAGCTGTGCACCCCCATGTCATGAGTTTAGGGGGGTCTCACCAGCACCAGCTGTGTCCCCATGTCCCAGGCGGGGGCAGTGGGTCCCCAGCAGCCCCTCACACGTGTCAGGATCACGAGTGCCCCAGCTCCGCGTGGCTTTGTCCCGTGTCAGAGCACGGGGGGTCTCGGCAGCCGCCGCTCCCGGAGCCCGTCCGGCCCTGGCTCTGCCTCCGTGTCCCTCCCGGATCCGGCTGTCCCCGGAGCTGGCAGCCTGTCCTGGCCGCGGCGCCCGAGCGTGTCCTCCCCTGGCCCTGCCACCCCGGCGAGGCCCCTCGGCTGGCAGTGACCCTTGTCCCCGCGCTGGCGGCGGTGCCACGGCGTCACGCGGGGCGGGCGGGCACCCGCGGGGCCAGCGGAGCCACCGCGGCGCAGCCGGGAGAGCCGCGGGCCGCACGGAGCCATGGACGGACACACGGACAGGTGGGCAGGGTACGGAGGGGACACGGGCGGGTGACACCGGGCTGGCGGGGACACGAGGTCACGCTGCCGGAGGGTGTTCCCGTCCCGCTGGAGATGGGGCTGGTGTCCCTGTTCCCGGATTTTGGCTCAGGTGGCTCCATCCCAGGTGACCCAGCTCCGGACACCCTGTCCCAAGGAGCTCAGCACAAAGTGTCCCTTTTCCCAGGTGTCTCAGTCACAGGTGTCACTCTGCCCCGTGTCCCCATCCCCGACCATCCATTCCCAGGTGTCCCATTCCCAGGTGTCCCAGTCCCAGCTTTCCCAGTCCCAGCTTTCCCAGTCCCAGGTGTCCCAGTCCCAGGTGTCCCAGTCCCAGGTGTCCCAGTCAAAGTGTCACTGTTCCATAGATTCCAGTCCCAGTTATCCCTGCTTCCAGTATCCCTCTCCAAGGTGACCCAGGTGTCCTTGTCCCAGGTGTCCCAGATGTCCCACTCCTCAGTTTCCCACTCTCCCAGCATCCACCTGACTCCAGGAAACCTGGCTCCATCCCAGGTGACCCAGCTCCGGACATCTTGTCCCAAGGAGCTCCCCACAAAGTGTCCCTTTTCCCAGGTGTCTCAGTCACAGGTGTCACTCTGTCCCGTGTCCCCATCCCCGACCATCCATTCCCAGGTGTCCCGTTCCCAGGTGTCCCATTCCCAGGTGTCCCAGTCCCAGCTTTCCCAGTCCCAGGTGTCCCAGTCCCAGGTGTCCCAGTCCCAGGTGTCCCAGTCCCAGGTGTCCCAGTCAAAGTGTCACTGTTCCATAGATTCCAGTCCCAGTTATCCCTGCTTCCAGTATCCCTCTCCAAGGTGACCCAGGTGTCCTTGTCCCAGGTGTCCCAGATGTCCCACTCCTCAGTTTCCCACTCTCCCAGCATCCACCTGACTCCAGGAAACACCTGGATTCTGCCCAAGGAGGAAGGGACACCCTGGGGCTGCCCCAGCACCATTCCCAGCCAAAATCCCCCCAGGGCCCCATCCCTGGGGGAGCCCACGGCCCCCACCTGGGCACAGGGACCCCCAGCACCCTCCTCTGGGGCTGCAGGGTGGTGTTGGGCGGGTGTAAGGTGGGCACAGGGCGTTTCTGAGGGTGCAGGGTGGGTTAGGCTGGGGGGAGGTTCACAGCAGGTTCCCCCCTCTCCTGCCCCTCCCCACATTCCCAGCTCGTGGCTGGGAGCCCCCCTGGAGCAGCTGCCCACCCCGGCACTGACCCTGGACCAGGCCACGCTGCGTGGGAACGCCGAGAGGATGCGGGAACGCTGCCGGGCCCTGGGGCTGCGCCTGCGCCCCCACGTCAAAACACACAAAACCCTGTGAGTGCCACCCCAGAACCCCCCCGAGCCACCTGGTATCTCCCCAGAATCCCTCCCATAAAAACACACAAAACCCTGTGAGTGCCACCCCAGAACCCCCCCGAGCCACCTGGTATCTCCCCAGAATCCCTCCCATAAAAACACACAAAACCCTGTGAGTGCCACCCCAGAACCCCCCCGAGCCACCTGGTATCTGTCCAGAATCCCCCCCATCCCGACCACCTCTTCCCCCATCTTCTTCCATCTGGGTCACCTCAGTATCCCTCAGATTTCACCCCATTTTCCACCCAGCATCTTCCCATCCTCACCCCAAAATCCTTCTCCAGCATCTCCCCATCATCCCAGTATCCCCCACCCTCCCCACCAGCTTCCTCCCCAGTATCCCTCAGTTTTTCCAGCATCTTCCCAGTATCCTTCCCAGCATCTCCCCATCTTTCCCTCAGGCTACCTCGCCTTCCCACCCAGCACCTCCCAGTCCTGCCCCAGTTCTCAGCTTCACCCCCAGTCTCTCCCCATCATCCCTCCAGCATCCTCCCTGCATTCCCCCACAGAATCCCTCCAGCATTCCCCTTATCCCCCCTCAGCATCCCTCAAATCCCCCCTCCCCAGTATCCCTCCATCATTCCTACAGATTCCTCCCAGTATCCCCCCTTAGCAGCCCTCAGCTTCCCTCAGGCTCCTTCCCAGAATCCCTCCCAGCACCCCCTCCTCATCCCCACCTTCTCCCCAGGTATTTCTCCATCCTCCCCAGTATCCCCCCACCATCCTCCCAGTATCCTCCATCCTCTCCCTTGCACCAGCTTCTCCCCTAGCATCCCTCCAGCTGCCTCTTCATCCTCCCTCTCACCATCCCCATCCTCACTCCCACAATCCCCCATCCTCCCTCCCAATATCCCCCCATCTTCACCCCCAGTATCCCCCCATCCTCACCCCCAGAATTCCCCATCCTCACTCCCAATATCCTCTCATCCTCCCTCCCAGTATCCCACATCCTCACTCCCAGTATGCCCCCATCTTCCCAATATCCTCTCATCCTCCCTCCCAGTATCCCCCTTCCTCCCAGTATCCCCCAACTCTCCCTTAACACCCAACATCCCCCCAGCACCTCCCGAGAACCCCTCCCACCACCCTCCCAGCACTCCCCACCATTCCCTCCTCCTCCTCCTCCTCCTCCTCCTCCTCCCTCTGTCCCGCATTCCCAGGGAAGGCGCGGAGCTGGCGACGGGCGGGACCCGCCGCGGCATCGTGGTGTCCACGCTGGCCGAGGCTCGCTTCTTCGCGGCCGGGGGCTTCGATGACATCCTGTACGCCTTCCCGGTGCCGCGCTGGCGCCTGGCCGAGTGCTCGGCGCTGGCCCAGCGCCTGCAGCAGTTCCAGGTGCTCGTGGACAGCCCCCAGGGGCTGGAGATGCTGCTCCAGAACCCCCTTCCCGGCGGGAAGCGCTGGCTGGTCTGGCTCAAGCTGGACTGCGGGAATGGCCGGGGTAGGTGAGCCCCAAATCCCAGCCCGGGGTGCAGGGAGGGGACATCGTGTGCTGTCTCCAGTGGGGTCATCCAGGGTGGGCTGTGGGGTGGGGTGGGATGCTCTGAGAGCCTCCAGACCCAGCATCTCAACCAGGATGGGGCATTGGAGCCCCCTAAAAGTAATTAATCAAGGGTGTTCCTCAGGGAACGATGTCCTGTGTCCCTCCAAGCCCCCAGACCCTCCATCCCAGCCATGATGGAGCATCTCAACCCCCCCAGAATTGTTATTTAATGGGTAGGGATCCCCATGTCCCTCCAAGCCCTCCAAATCCTCCATCAAAACCACGATGAAGCATCTAAACCCCCCCAAAATCGTTATTTAAGGGTTCTCCATGGGAAGGAATCCCCATGTCCCTCCAAATCCTCCATCCCAACCACGATGAAGCATCTAACCCCCCCCAAAAAATCGTTAATTAAGGGTTCTCCATGGGAAGGAATCCCCATGTCCCTCCAAGAACTCCAAATCCTCCATCAAAACCATGATGGAGCATCTAAACCCCCCCAAAATCGTTATTTAAGGATGGTCCATAGGGAAGGATCCCCATGTCCGTCCGAGCTCCCCAAATCCTCCTTCCCAACCATGATGGAACATCTAAACCCCCCCAAAATCGTTATTTAAGGATGGTCCATGGGAAGGAATCCCCATGTCCCTCCAAATCCTCCATCCCAACCACCATGAAGCATCTAAATCTCCCAAAATCGTTATTTAAGGGTTCTCCACGGGAAGGAATCCCCATGTCCCTCCAAGCCCCCCAAATCCTCCTTCCCAACCACGATGGAGCATCTCAGCACCTCCAAAGTCATTTTTCCCATCCACGCCTGGAAATTACGGCACAAGTGGCCCCGAAGCCCCACCAGGGCACTCCCCAACCCCATTCCCACATTCCCACCGCCAGGATGCTGCATGGGGGCGATGTCCCGGTGTCCCTTCACCCATCCCCCACACCCCAACCTGCCACCCTCGTGTCCCCTCCCCAGCCGGGATTCGTCCCACGGATCCCGAGGCGCTGTCCCTGGCTCGGGCCATCGCCCAGGGCTCCCCGGAGCTGGTGACACTCGTGGGGGTCTACGCCCACTGCGGGAACACCTACGGCTGTCGCGACATCCCGGCCATCCAGGCCATCGCCAGGGACACCACGGCCGCCGTGCTGGAATTCGTCACCGCGTGAGTGGCCGGGATGAGCGGGATGGAGGGGATTTGGGGACAGGAAGGGTCAAGGCGGCCGCTGTCCCCTTCCCAAAGCGCGGCTGTTGGCTGTAAATGCGAATCGCCCCCATAAAGGGGCCCTCAAAGCCCCCCCGGGGGGCACCGGGGGGTGGTGGCGGCGCCGCTGGCCTTTGATGTGGCTGCGGCGGCGGGCTGTGACCTGGGGCATTGTCCCGTCCCTCCTCCCTGTCACCCTTTCATCCCGGCGGGGGTCTGCATCCTGCAGGGAATTGCGGCCGGATGGGTCCTGCTGGGAAAAGGGGGAGGGACCCCCCCACCCCCCACGCCAGGGACAGGGATGTGCCCACCTGGGGACACGTCCTGGGGGTCACCGGCCCGTGGTGGCACCGGGTTGTGGCAGGGAAACCCCAGATCCCACCCCCTCCCCAAAATCTGGGGCTGGCTCCAAGCACAGCTGGGGGTCCAGAAATACCTGGGAGGGGTCCCAGGAACCAGTGGGGGTGCCCTGGCACATCTGGGGGGGCATTTCTGGCACATCTGGGAGCGGCCTGGCACAGCTGAGGGGATCCCAGGCACATCTGGTGGCACCCTCACACACCTGGGGGAGGTCTCCAGCACATCTGGGGGCTCCCAGAACCACCTGGAGGGGTCTCCAGCACATCTGGGGGCTCCCAGAACCACCTGGAGGGGTCTCCAGCACATCTGGGGGCTCTCAGACACATCTGGGAGTGCTTTAAAACATCTGGGGGGTGTCCAGCTCATACAGATGGATCTCTGGCACATCTGGGGATGGTTGGGCACATCTGGAGGGTGCTCTGCCACATCTGGGGGGTCTGGAGGGACACCCACCAGCCCTGAGTCTTTGAGGGGGCTCTCAGGCACATCTGGCTGGCACCTGGCCACATCTGGATGTGTCCCCAGCACATCCTGAGTTCTCCGTGGCACGCTGCGGGGAGGCTCTGCCACATCTGGATGGCTCCCTTGAGTGTTTGGGGGGCACACCTGGGGCACCCAGAGGCGCAGGACCCACCTCTTCTCTTGTTCCCGGTGATGCCCGGGGGTGCCAGACCCACCTCTGGCCAGCCGGGGGTGACATCCCCCACCGCGATCACCCCGAGGGTGCCCCCCGTGTGTCCCCAGGCTGCGGCAGGCGGGGATCCCGTGTCCCCAGGCCACCATCGGCTCCACGCCGTCCTGCAGCCACCCGGTGCCGGAGATGTCGCAGCTCACCGAGGTGCACCCGGGCAATTACCTCTTCTACGGTGAGCGGGGACGGGATCCCCCCGGCTGGGAGGGACCCTCCGAGGGTGGCACACGGCCAGGCTGAGCCCCTGTCCCCCGCAGACCTGCAGCAGACCCAGCTGGGCTCGTGCCGGCCCGAGGAGGTGGCGATCCGTGTCCTCACCAGGGTCATCGGTCACTATCCGCACCGCGGGCAGCTGCTGCTGGACTGCGGCTGGGCCGCCCTGAGCCTGCACGGCCGCGACCAGGGACCCCCGGGCTGTGCCGCCATCGAGGGCCACCCCCAGCTCAGGTGACAGCCGCGGGAGGCGCGAGGGAGCGGGGACAGGGAGCGGGAGGTGACACCTGTGCCTCGCGTCCCCGCAGGCTGGTGGGGCTGACCCAGGAGCACGGGCAGGTGGAGGCCGTGGATGGGCAGCTGGATTTCGAGCGATTCCCGCTGGGAAGCACCTTGGCGCTCATCCCGTTCCACGTGAGTGTCAGCCCCGCGTGTCCCCTCTGTGCCAGCCCCGCGTCACAGCTCGGTGTCGCCTCTGTCACAGGCCTGTGCCACGGCCGCCATGCACCCCGTGTACTTCGTGCACGCTGCCGGCAAGGTGGTGGAGCTCTGGCGCCCCGTGCGCGGCTGGTAGAGAGGAGAGAGAGGAGATTCCGGGGGTATGCAGCCGCACCCGGACCCTGCACCCACCCGGGCACCCTGCACCCACCCTGGAGCAAGGCTCTGCACCCACATCGAGACCCTGCACCCGCTCTGAGTCACTCTGTGCACCCCAACAGGGTCCCCATATGGGATGCTGCACCCACTCCCACACCCTGCACCCACTCCACATCCCTCCACCCACTCCAAGATGCTGCACCCACACCACGGCTCAATAAAGCTGCTTCTCCCGCTTCCAGGCGCTTATTCCCCCGGGGAACAGCCGTGGGGAGGTGGCGGGAGGAGTGGGTGACGCCGTCCCCTCGGTGCCCTCCATCCCAGTTCAGACCGGACCGGTCCAAGTTGGACCCGTTCCGACGGGCGGGACTCGAACCTGTGACCCCGGGAGCTGCGAGGGGCAGGACTCCATGCCTGGTCACGCCCCCCAAGCCGCGCCCAGCCAATGGGAGCGCGCCCCGCCCTGCCCTGCCCGGGGGAGCCACGCCCAGCCCGGCCCGGCCCAGGCGCGACGGGGCGGCCGAGAGGAGCCGAGCGGGGCCGAACCGGGACCGAGCGGAGCTGAACCGGGACCCAGCGGAGCTGAACGGAGCCGAACCGGGACCCAACGGGGCCGAACCGGGAGCCAGCGGAGTCAAGCGGAGCCGACGCGGGACGCAGCGGAGCCGAACGTGTCCGAAGCGAGGCCGAGCGCTGCCGGACGGGAGCGAAGCGGTTCGGAGCGGCTCGGAGCAGTCCGGCTCGGCCCGGGCCGGAGCGGGGTCCCGGGCCGGTGGCGGCGATGCGGCCGCTGCCGGTGCCGCTGCTGCTGCTGCTGCTGAGCCCGGTGCGGGCGGGGAACGGGAGCGGGAGCGGGATGGGGCGGGCCGGGGCTCCGCTGCCCCCGGGGCGCTTCGCTCCGCGGCTTTTGTTGAAGTTTTTTGGGGTTGGTTCGGTGAAGTTTGGGTGGTTTCGGTTCGGTTCCTTTTCTTTCATCTTATCCCATTTTGTCCTCTTTATTTTCTTTTCCTGGTTTATTTATTTTTTTATTTTCCTTCTTATATTTTTATTTTTATTTTTTCTTTTCTTTTTATTTTCCTCTTTTATTTCATTCTCCTTTTTTAAATCTCACTTTCTTTTCCTCTTTTATTTTTTATTTTCCTTTTTAATTCTGTTTCATTTTCCCTGGTTTATTTCATCTTATCCTATTTTACTTTCCTTATTTTCCTACTTTACTATTTGCCATTATTTTCCTTTATTTTTTCCCTTTTTTCCCCCTTTTTCCCCTTTTTTTTCCTTTTTTCCCTCTTTTTTTCCTTTATGTTCCTTTATTTTTCCCCTTTTTCCCCTTTTTTCTCTTTTTTCCTTTATTTTCCTTTATTTTTTTTCCTTTTTTCCCCCATTTTTTCCCCCATTTTCCCCTTTTTTCCTCTTTTTTTCCCCTTTATTTTCCTTTATTTTTTCCCTTTTTTCCCCTTTTTTTTCTTTTTTTCCCTTTTTTCCCCTTTATTTTCCTTTATTTTCCTTTATTTTTTCCTTTTTTTCCCTTTTTTCCCCTTTTTTTTTCTTTTTTTCCCCTTTATTTTCCTTTATTTTCCTTTATTTTTTCCTTTTTTTCCCTTTTTTCCCCTTTTTTTTTCTTTTTTTCCCCTTTATTTTCCTTTATTTTCCTTTTTTTTCTCTTTTTTCCTTTATTTTCCTTTATTTTTTCCTTTTTTTCCCTTTTTTCCCCTTTTTTTTTCTTTTTTTCCCCTTTATTTTCCTTTATTTTCCTTTTTTTTCTCTTTTTTCCTTTATTTTCCTTTATTTTTTCCTTTTTTTCCCTTTTTTCCCCTTTTTTTTTCTTTTTTTCCCCTTTATTTTCCTTTATTTTTTCCCTTTTTCCCCCTTTTTTTTTCCTTTTTTTTCTCTTTTTTCCTTTATTTTCCTTTATTTTTTTTCCTTTTTTTCCCTTTTTTCCTCTTTTTTTTTATTTTCCTTTTTAATTCTGTTTAATTTTCCCTGGTTTATTTCATCTTATCCTATTTTACTTTCCTTATTTTCCTACTTTACTATTTGCCTTTATTTTCCTTTATTTTTCCCTTTTTCCCCCCTTTTTTCCCCCTTTTTTCCTTCATTTTCCTTCATTTTCCTTTATTTTTCCCCTTTTTTCCCCTTTTTTTCCTTTTTTTCCCTCTTTTTTCCTTTATATTCTTTCCCTTTTCCCCCTTTTTTCTCTTTTTTTCCTTTATTTTCCTTTATTTTTTTTTCCTTTTTTCCCCCCTTTTTTCCCCCATTTTCCCCTTTTTTCCTCTTTTTTTCCCCTTTATTTTCCTTTATTTTTTCCCTTTTTTCCCCTTTTTTTTCTTTTTTTCCCTTTTTTCCCCTTTATTTTCCTTTATTTTTTCCCTTTTTTCCCCTTTTTTTCCTTTATTTTCCTTTATTTTTTCCTTTTTTTCCCTTTTTTCCCCTTTTTTTTTCCTTTATTTTCCCCTTTATTTTCCTTTATTTTCCTTTTTTTTCTCTTTTTTCCTTTATTTTCCTTTATTTTTTTCCTTTTTTTCCCTTTTTTTCCTCTTTTTTTTTCCTTTTTTTTCTCTTTTTTTCCCTTTATTTTCCTTTATTTTTTCCCTTTTTCCCCCTTTTTTTTCTGCTTTTTTTTCTCTTTCTTCCTTTATTTTCCTTTATTTTTTCCCCTTTTTTCCCCTTTTTTCCCCTTTTTTTCTCTTTTTTCCTTTATTTTCCTTTATTTTTTTCCTTTTTTTCCCCTTTTTTTCCCTTTTTTTCCCTTTTTCCTTTATTTCACGTTCTTTTCCTCCCTTCCCCTTTAATTTAGCTCAGCTTTCCCCTTCTTCCTCCTCCTTTTCTTCCCTTGATTTCTCCCCCTTCCTTCCCACCTCAACGCCTTTTATCTCATTTTCATTTACCATTTATTTCCTTCCCATTTTACTCTTCCCGTTTCATTCCCCGCTTTTATTTTCCTCTCGTTATTTCCTTTCACTGCTCCTCACCCCCCCCCCAAACCCCCTTTTCCGGGGGGGTCCCGGCGGGAATTCGGGGATTCGGGGGAAACTGAGGCAAAAACCCGCTGTGCCCGCAGGTGCCGGGGCGGGGCGGGGGGTGCCCCCCGTGTCCCCGCGGTGTCCCCGAGCCCTGCGACAGCCGCTGCCCACCCTGCGCCCGCGGTGAGTACCCCGAAACCACCCCGAACCCCGAAACACCCCCCCAAAAAAACCCCAAAAACCCCAAAACCGCCCCAACCCCGCAGCGCGGAGCCCCGCGGAGGAGGAGCCGGAGGAGCCGTGCCCGCCCTGCCCGCCCTGCAGCCGTGAGTGGCACCCTGTGTGCCTCAGTTTCCCCTTTGTGCCTCAATTTTCCCATGTTGTTCCCTAATTTCACCTCTTCGTGCCTCAGTTTCCCTTTTGTGCCTCAGTTTCCCTATGTCGCTCCCAAATTTCACCTTTTCGTGCTTCAGTTTCCTCTTTGTGCCTCAATTTCCCCAAGTTGTTCCTTAATTTCCCCTCCTAGGGCTTCAGTTTCCCCTTTGTGCCTCAATTTTCCCATGTTGTTCCCTAATTTCACCTCTTCGTGCCTCAGTTTCCCTTTTGTGCCTCAGTTTCCCTATGTCGCTCCCAAATTTCACCTTTTCGTGCTTCAGTTTCCTCTTTGTGCCTCAATTTCCCCAAGTTGTTCCTTAATTTCCCCTCCTAGGGCTTCAGTTTCCCCTTTGTGCCTCAGTTTCCCTATGTCGCTCCCAAATTTCACCTTTTCGTGCTTCAGTTTCCTCTTTGTGCCTCAATTTCCACAAGTTGCTCCTTAATTTCCCCTCCTAGTGCTTCAGTTTCCCCTTTGTGCCTCAGTTTCCCTATGTTGCTCCCTAATTTCACCTTTTCCTGCCTCAGTTTCCCCTTTGTGCCTCAGTTTCCCCAAGTTGCTCCTCAATTTCACCTTTTCGTGCCTCAGTTTCCCCCTTTGTGCCTCAGTTTCCCCAAGTTGCTCCTTAATTTCCCCCTTTGTGCCTCAGTTTCCCCTATTGCTCCTCAGTTTCCCCCTTTTTGTGCCTCAGTTTCCCTTTTCTGCCTCAGTTTCCCATCCTGCTCACATTGTGCCTCAGTTTCCCCACACTGTCCACAGCTTCCTCCCTTCGTGCCTCAGTTTCCTCTTGTGCTGCCTCAGTTTCCCCTTTCGTGCCTCAGTTTCCCCATGTCCTCCTTTTGTTTCCTCCTGTCATGCCTCAGTTTCTCTTTTTTTACCTCATTCCCTGTTTTTGTGCCTCATTCCCCCCTTTTGTGCCTCAGTTTCCCTTTTTCACCTCATTCCCTTTTTCTGCCTCAGTTTCCCCCATTTCACCTCATTCCCTTGTGCCTCAGTTTCCCCCATTTTATCCCATTCCCTCTTTTGTGCCTCAGTTTCCCTTTTTCACCTCATTCCCTCTTGTGCCTCAGTTTCTCCTTTTGTCCTTCATTTCCCCTTTTTGTGCCTCGGTTTCCCTTTTTTTACCCCATTCCCTCTCTCTGTGCCTCGGTTTCCTAGTTTCCCCCTCATTCCCCTCACCGTGCCTCAGTTTCCCTTTTCCCCCTCACCGTGCCTCAGTTTCCCCCTCACTCCCCTCACCCGTGCCTCAGTTTCCCTTTTCCCCCTCTGCCTCGGTTTCCCTTTTTTTACCCCATTCCCTCTCTCTGTGCCTCGGTTTCCCAGTTTCCCCTCATTCCCCTCACCGTGCCTCAGTTTCCCTTTTCCCCCTCACCGTGCCTCAGTTTCCCGCCGTGTCCCTCAGGGGGTGCCCGGGGCGCTGTCCCCACACCCGGGGGTCTCACCCCGCTCGCCTCCCCCCGCCCCTCTCCAGGGGGAAACTGAGGCACGGCCGGCCATGTCCTCACTCCCTTCCCATTTTCTGGGGCTCCCGCAGACGAGGCCACGGCGCCGCTCCCTGAGGGGACCCCGCCGGTGTCGGGGACCCCCCGAGCGACCCCGCCGGTGTCGGGGGCCACCCCCGAGCCCCCCAGGGACATCATCCCGCTGTACTGCGCCCTCCTGGCCGGCCTCGTCGTGGGGCTCGTGGCCTACGTGGCCTTCAAGTGGTGAGTG